GTCCATTTTTCAGTGTCTGGTCTTTGCAGGAGCCCAAAGAGTATGCAGTAGACCAGAGCCTTCATTGTACTTTTAGACACTTAAGAAAGAGATACATAAAGTTCCTGCTATGGTTTACAGCAGGGATCCCAGACTTAATTGTCCAGATATTTTGACAGCTGTGATAGATTACAGTTAAAACCTAGTTCTTTTCCACATGCACAACTTCACAGAAATCAGAGGGAATGACTGAGCTTTCCCCAGAAACTGTGCACAGTTAGGGAGGACCTTCCCAGGGCCTCTCTGCTGCTGGGGGCGGGTTTGGACTCCCTGCTCTCAGCACACGCTTGGTGGTGAGGAACCACCTGGTTTTGCAAACACTGCTAGAAATAAAGCTCTGCACAACCCTCCATCTAAGGATTTCTACTGATCAATCCTGTATGCACCAAACCAATGGGAATAAATATGAAGGCTGGGATACGTAGGCTGCCTAGGTATATCCACTGATGTCATTGTCATGGACACAGCCATGGTAAAGAAGCCTTTGTACTCTGTTTCTCCTCCTTCCCTTGCAGTTTCTATGGCCTTTGAGCTATCCTTGATGAAAACACTTTCAGGTTGTAGAATAATGACTGGGAGAAGGAAGCACTGTGAAAGGGATGTTCCATTACATTGTACAACAAATTTGTTATAAAATTCCAAAATGTCTTGCTAAGCAGAATCCTGGTTTACTGTGTAAGAATGAGAGCAGAGAGGAGCCTGTAGCTCACTACTTTTGGCCAGTGTGCCATGCCTATTTGACATGCTATCAGTCACATTAGACATGAAAATCTTCTTCAGATATCTTTCCTACAAAGGAAGGAGTTTGATGCCTTCAGACATTCAGTTTTTTAGTCCGTCACGGAAGATGTTTAAGAATTCACAGATTCAAATAATAGCTTGAGAGTCTACAGTGAGAGTTTGGTAGATATGATGATGTCTGCTTCTTGCCTTCAACCACTTTTTTTACATTAAAATGGAAACAGGATTACTATTGTATGGTTTTGCAATTTAATATTTTTCAATATGCTGTGCAATTTTCAGTCTCTGTAATAATCAGAGCCCAGAAAATTAGCTGTTTCATGCTCAGATAATCACTTTTGCAGTAGAAGTGGGTCTAAATAAAGAATTATTTCTGAATCAAACACAATTGTACTCTCTTTTTCTTGCATACTGGTCAAATTTCATTGCATTTACACTCTAGTTGCTGATAATTATTGTCAGAACAGGCAGAATGAACCCTGTGGCTCCTGACATGCTAGAAAGCAGCATTCAGCACTGCTGTGCTGAGCTGGCTGGAGGAACCTGTGCTCTCCTACAGCAACTCCAGTGAGAGGAAAGCTACTCATCATAGAAAAGTGTAGAGCCTCTCCTACAAGGAGGTCATCATTATTTGTTTGTCCTTTGCACCTCAAATCTCAAGTCTGCAAGTATTGTCTTTTACTGTTCTTGTGAAATGAACCCAGTGGAAGAAAAGCACCTGCTTGTTTGCAAGCATGCCAGCTGTGCAGGTATCTGGTACTAACACACGTCAGAACTTGTTAAACCATTTGGCTGCCTAATACATAAAGAAAATCCCCTAAGGACAACATCTTGGTTTTTACCTGTGATTTGAATTACTGTTGAGCTCAGTTCTATTGTCTTTTCCTTCTTTGCAGAGAAGAAACTCATGTTTAATTCTCACTTAATTTGATGGGCTTTTGGTCTGTTTAATTAATCAGAATAAAAAATAAATAACTCCTAAAATCTATAACATATTTTGAAAACAATTCCTTAGAATTGTCCTGTAAATATCACAATAGACCAACAAGTATGATACTTTGTTTGAGCTTTTAGATACCAGTGGGTTTTCTTAGTGAAAGTAAGGGTTGGCACATTGGAAGTAAAATGGTGCAAAGAAGCAGTCCTATTCTTCCATAGCCTTGGTACAATTATTGCATTAGCAAATTTTCCAATTAACCTGTGATCCACAGCTTGACAATGCAGTTGTCACTCAAAGATGTTGCAGTTGTCCCAGAGGAATCTAAAGTGCTAGATGTATTTATCACAGAGTCTGCTTTCCAGTGTGCCAGATACCATTCTAAGTTCATTCTCCATCTGCATTAATGGCTGCTTTAACTAAAATGCAAACTCAGTTGTCTGAGTGGTCTATAGAAAACCTGACAAGAAATGGAGCCAGCCTCCACAATGTAGGGTGCAAATGCACGCAATTGCAGCTGCTTTTGTCTAGAAGTAGCTCAGGCAGAAATCAATATATAAGGCAGGCAGAAGGTAACTGCCAGACAATGAATAGTTTTGGTCACCTGCCTGTACCCCAACCCAAAATCATTCACACACTTGGCTGCCAATCTTGCATCTGTTTTGAAAAGTTTGGGATGCACCATTAAGCAATCCTCATGTGTGAGCTAACAGCATAAATCAGCCTATGTTTGAAAGTAGGCTGCTGGGCTTCTCTCCATGTTTCTGTACTCCAGAAACTGCAGCAAAAAAGCGTAAAGCCGCATATTTGTACCTTAAATTCTATTTTGCTCTGAAAGGAAGCTCAGACTGAATGATGTACAATACAAGGAAATAGGATGTTACAGTTTGAGCAAAACAGATGAAATGCTTCTAGACCAGGTAGTCTTTCACATTGAATAACAGAGAAGTAGCAACATATGAGTCATATAAAGAAATAACCAGAGTTTTTTTCTTAAAATCTTTACTGGTGTAACAGTACATCTGACTTGAGGTGTTCTGCTCTTGTTACATTTTTGTTTCATACTTACCTTCTGTCTAAACCATACAAGTAAAGCCAGAAAAAAACTGAAATATTCAGGAGAGACTTGGAATTTTTTTTTTTTGGTGATGAAGCAGTTTCAATCAGCCATTACTGAAATCTCCTGTTTCTCTAACCAGTCCTTGAATCATTTGGTCTGCCCAGGAAAATTCTCCCTGTATTTAAAATCTAGCATTGCAGATGTTTCAGATCACACAGATGAGAGCAACTCTACCTAGAGATACATTTTGTGTTATGTTTTTTAGTAGAGACGAGATCATATAAATTTCTTCATAAGAAATTCAAGTGGTATTTGTCTCAGACCACTAAGTTACATATTCAGTAACACAATTTTGAAACAATATTCCATTGCTCAAGCCCATATGTTTTTATGTATCTTCCCTTATGAAGTGTTTCTGGATTTAAGAACCTAGAAACTGCAGAAAATAGTATGCTCCATTATCCATTATGCCATTCAATGGAAATAGTAAGAGCTGTATTGGAGATTAATTTGGAGCTAGCTTATCTATCAGATGTTTCTGCAGCAAAAGGTAACCTATCTGGATATTTTTAAACTATTGAAGTTACTACAGAGCATCTAGTAAAGATTCCTTTTTTATTATTATCAATATTGTTATTATTTCAAAAATAATAAAAATGCTGCTCTCTTCTCATTAACACAAGACTCAGGGAAGTAATATCCACTGTGGATCTGCATTGAGAGAATTTTAAACCTTAAAGGCAGAGCTTTTAAAAGGTAATTCATTGAGTGTTTCTATGACAATAAAGACGTGAACTTTGAAGACTTTAAGCTAGAATAGCAAGATGACGATAAAACCATGATTGTCACCAAGAGGGAGAGCAAATTCAAAGCACTTTTTACTTTCTTGAAATTTGGTATCTTTTTGTCAATGAAACTACCAGAAGAAACTAAACAAGTGTCTTGGGATGCACTGAGCAGTTTAAAGTCCATCAAGTTTCTCAAGAGAAAATTACTTCCTTACTCTGCTGGAGAGTTTACAAGCAGGTAAGAGGTAAGTCTCTTTGAGCTGAGCACCAAATCTCATAAGATGCTACAGAAAACAGAAAGACTTGTTAAGGAGTGAAAAAAATTAATATTCCCTTTTCTGTTTTGAATTTGATGACATTGTAGAAATGGCTTTAAACTAAAAGTTGTGGACACATGTGGACATCATAGGGGCATGGACAAGGTACTGAGACCATGGTAGCTCTGATCAATCTCTGTTCCACTAATTCTAGCTTAATGCTGTGTCGTTTAGTATTAAAGACATGGAGGGAAGAGATGAAGTAGGCCCCAAGGTAAGACAACACTTATAAGTACTGAAACTAATTGTCAATAAAAATTGGTTGATTTTAGCATAGATTTTAGAAGGTGTAAATTTAATAGGCTGTTTTCCAAATTGTCATGTTATTTCAAAGTGTCTCTGTATGTCTGTCCCCCTGTTCTTCACATAAATTCTGCAATGCCTAATAATGTGTGACCATGTTTTCATTCACTGTAGGACTTCCTTTCTTCTTGACTGTCTATATTACCAGAACTTGTAGAAATCAAATGATTTGGGGGATTCTTTATTCCTATTAGATTAAACATGACCAGAATTTGAAACCAGTATTGAAGAAATGGGATGGAAATAAACAGAGAAGTACATATACAGAGCTGGAACTTGAGGGCCAGTTCCACAAAAACCATATATAAATAAAAGATGAGCTTCAGTCTGTGGATTGGGTACAGGGGAGGGTACAAAGAAGCAAGAAAGATCAATGTGTGTACTTCATGTACTATGGGGTGTCTGCCCAGAATTACATCCAAGACCTGGTACATGTGGCAGGATGTTCTGATACAAACCTCAGCTTCATCAAGACTGCAAGAAATTATGCACATTGAGAAATCCCTGTGGCTCAGGTGCACCTACCTTAGGGACATAGCTAAAATATAACAGTTACAATAGTTCTTCCCTTTGCCTCATGTACTTAAATTTCATTTCCCGAGCCCTTGGATGCAGCAAGGAATTTAGATTTAGATGGTGTCAGATCCCAGCAAAGAGAAATCAGGAACTGAGGTTCAGACCCATTCTGATTTTGAAGCAGGTCCAGAGCATTCTGAGGCTTGGGCTTCATTCAGTTCCCTTGTCAGAAACCCTTCAACTGCTTCTGCCATCTCTGAATGGAGAATAAAACTGATCCTATTATTTGGTATTTCTAGGTCAATATCTGATCCTCTGCTGGGAAAAACTGAAATCCATGGATATCAAAATCAGGGCATCCCAGAACATTGGAGTGGAAAGAATGATGCATCTGACTCCATGGATATCAGAAGGCTAATTATTTACTTTATTATACTATATTACATACATCTAAACTGAATCTGCCAAGTACTCACTCTGCACACAGCTGCACTCCAGTCGTGACTGTCCTGTGACTCTCAGCCAACAGTCCAGACACACACACACTCTTGGCCCTGATAGGCCAAGGAAACAAAACACCATCACTCTGGGTAAGCAATCTCCATATTGCATTCTACTTTGGCACAACACAGACACAGCCCAGGGGGAAAAACTGCCGCCCCCCACTCTCAACATCAGCTAGCGGGGGAAGAGAAGTGGCAGCAAATGATAAGCAATGGTTTTTTTTTCTCTGAGATTCAAAGAATGTGAATCTCAGAAATCCTTGGGAAGAATTGTGTCTTGCTTTTCTCTGTGAAGAGAAATGTGGCAATACCTGGACACTTTATACTAGCAGAGAATCTTAATTTTTCTCCTTCAGCTACAAGGAAATAGGTGGAAAAAACCCCATAGGGAAAAAAAGAAAAGTGAAGCAATCCATTTGTGAAGCTGGGCATGTGGTTGGCAGAAGGGCTACTGGAGAGCGTGGGAAGTCACTGATTCCAGATGCCTTGCTCAGCTTTCTCTGTGTGCCAGCAGAAAGTGTAGGAGTACTTCGGACTCATCTGGACTACTATGGGTTTTTTTTTCCTTTGAAGTGTGTATTTTCTTTCAGTCTGTTGTGCTAGCTCCCACAAAGGCTCTAGCTGAAGGAGAATGCCTCTGACACCACCCTGCCTTCAGCAGCAAATACCTGCCTCTGTCCCTGTCCCTGCCCATGCCAGCCACTCCCTGCAGCATCACAGTGCAAGGGCTGGCAGATCCAAGAGAAACCCCCATGACAGCCCCTCTCAAGCATAAACTGCAATAACTCTTACTCTTGCAAGATGCCCATAATTTATTCATCCCAAGATGTATTCATCCATCCATTATTTATTTGCATTTGTTTTACTACTATCATTACAATTTCATAAACTGAAGCATAGAGAAGGAGATGGGAAGTTAAAGGCAGAGGTAGCTGCTGGACAAAGACCCTGGGCTTGCTTCTCCTTGGCTTCTGACTGCCTTCAGGTTTTGCGTGAAGGCATAACACAGAGTGAGCAAAATTTCTCCTCTTTCTGTTTGCTTCAGTAGTTTGGTGGAAATCCTTTCTGCCACCTAAATTCCTCTCTGCAGTCATTTATATTCTGTTGATGTGGAGAGGACAATGGAATGTAGCAAGGTGGTAGTGAAAAGCCAAAAGAAAGGCAGGGATAGATGGGGAAGGGATGTTGGTGCTGCAGTCACCATCTTCCCTCCTTAATGCATTCTGTGGGAGCAGGTTTCTGTTTATCTGAGTATTAGGAATGAACTGGCTTAAGGTCTACTGGTACAATGAAGAAATTTAGATTTACTATTTCTGGCCATGATGAGGTGTGGGGATTCCAAGGGAAGTGGGAGATTGTGTTGAAAGGAGTGGGTGGAAAAATCCTGTGTAAAACATTCCCTCCCTGGCACCCTTCCACCACAGGGTCGGCTACCTGGGCTGGGGACAGATGGTTGGGATTTATTGGATTCCTGTGCTTTGGCCATGGCAGCTGCTGGCCTGTGTGTATCACAAGTCAGCTGCAAGGAAAGGAGTGTTGGCTTAAGCCACTTTCATGATCATTTTCTGTAGACAGAAGTTCAAACACCAGGTACATTAAGGAACATGACTGAAGGCCACTCGGTTTCCCATTCTGTAGCACAGGGCTTTCTGCAACGTGTTATTGACTTCATAAAAACCATAGCAGTCTTCCTCTGACTACTGCCCTCTAAACTTCCTTCTTTCAAAAAATATGCAGCACTATTGTAAATCAATGTCCAAAACCACTTCAGCAATACTGCTTTTATCTGGAGGGACCATTTTGTAGAAAAAGGACATTTCTTTAAAAAATAATATATATACAAAATTTCCTAAGGAATCATTTTGAGCCTTTTCAATCAGCCAGATATTCACTTCATGGTACAAAACCACAGATTTGTTATTCAATTTATAGGAAAAAAAATAAAATAAAAAGATTGCTATTTCACTTCTATATAGAAGCAAAAAATAAATTGCCATATATTTATTGCATAAATATAAACCATTTATGTAAATTAGGACAAGAGGCTAAGTAAAAAAGTCCTAGCATGAAAAGTGGACTGTTTCAGATTATTTATGTTCTGGATTTTTAAAAGGACAACTTATCTGTAGCTTTGTGTAAAACAACTGCAGATTTTGAAAAACATGAATCCAACAAAATCAAATCAAGGTCTTAGAGATGAAAATTTAATCAGGAAAAAAAGTACTATAGTACATGTCAATGTCATGGATATTTGAACATTTGTTGTGCAATATATGGTACATAGAGTTGTTTCTTACAACAGAAGGTTATATTCTAGGGGTTTTCTGCACATGAGCACATGTGAGAAGAGCAGCTGTGAGATGGAGGAGCAGAAGTTAGCATCCCCTGTTCTCTCCTCAGTAACTGTAGGAAGTGTGTTTTGCTGATTGCCCTTGCTAGGCATGAATGAACACACAGGCTCTGGGTCCAGCAGATCTGGGGCATTGTCTGTGTATTTAGATGTGTAACCAAGAAAATGAACTTTTATACACTATTCTCTTTCTTGGGTATCCTTACTGTATTATTTCTATGAAATTTTAAGGGTTCCCTAGTTAGCTGTGATTGCAATAATAGCCTTATTTCCCCATTACTGTCAAACAAAAGTACTGATATTATATCTTAAGTTGGGGTAAAAGCTATGGCCAAGGATGCACCATTAGAGATCAGAACTATTAAGTGGCAACAGTTTCATATTTCTGGACTTGAAGGATGCAGAGGAAATGTACACAACTGCCATTTGGTTTGGAAATATTATCCCAAAATAGTGTTCTCTTTCTGGGTAGTATGCACATAATGGAACTTTATGGTATTTGTAAAGCATTTGCACCACATAATTCTGCACTAGAACAGTGTAAATTTGGGTCAGTTTCATGTGCATCATAACACAGAATGTAGAGGGACTTAAAATATTTATAGTATTGTGCTGTATGATATCTTAATGCCATCCCTGCATTTACATTTCATTTAACTGTTATGCTGCCCTTAGGGAAATCTCTTTTGCCCAAGAATACACTCTTTCTGTAACAAATAGGATCAAAAAAATCTCAAAAAGGAATTGAACAGCAGTAATATTTATAGAAGGAGAAATATCTGTGAATTCACCATTATCAGGAATAGTGACCTAGAGAAGCATTTTTGCACTTTATTAAAACCATTATTAAGCACTTGGTCTGTATATGGTAGCAAAGCTTTGAAGGAAAAATGAGCAGAATATATATTGCATAGTGTGTTCCATTGTTAAAACTTTCTATACATTGAAAGTGTGATGTGTCCATAACAATATCTCAAGGCATCTGATCCCCTGTGGTTTAGATTCCTGTTAGAAGGTCTCTGACCATCTCCTGTGTGGTAACACTCAAATAGTTAAGGGAACTTGGACAGTTTTATAATTCTTCAGAATTCAGCTCAGAAGGTGAACAGCATTTTCCAGTCATATAGGAAAAATAACCCAGAAGAAACTCTAGGGAAATAAGTTTCTGACAGACCAGACGTTAAAAATTATGAGGCTTTTGTCTGAAATTGAAGTTGGACAGAAACTCCAAGCCACATGACTTGAAAGCAAATCAGAGGTGAGTGAATAGCCCTTTGATCAAGGCACTGACCTGAGAGCAAGCCTACATCCCTGTCTGTGCTCTGCTGCAGACCTCTCCCTTTACATCTGCTGCCTGTGTTTCTTATTGTGTACAGAGACTTGGAGCACCTCATCTGCTGGGGTGGGGGCTGGCTCTGTCTTCTGCGGGGAAATGCCTCTTTTACATCCTTTGAAGAAATTGGAGCCATCTCACCTCCAAGTATTTTACAATATGTTGGTTTCTGGAAAACTGGGAGCTTTCTGCCATTTTTTCCTGGGCTTGTAATTAAAACAAATATAAAAAACTTACAGTTTTCCTCTCCAATATCCATCCTAGTTATCAACAAGCCTTGCTACACAGAGTCCACCAAGATCACCATTTTAATAAAAATGCCTTCAAAGCATTAATTCCACTGTTATTAATTCAAAAAGCCTCTCAGAAGTTCAGTATTCATAAAAGAAAAATCTTCTTTGGCTCACTAGTATAAAAAAGTAATCCTTCTAATACAGCAGCACTGTATCAACAGGAGCCAAATGCTACAGATATAATTACTGGGCATCACTGGCTCAGGAGTCATAAAAACCTTGACTCTGAATAAAAAGCAAAACCTATTAATAAATTATAACAACTACTTCTTGTAGCAAACAAACCCCATATCCTCTTATGATAAAGAAATGCATATTTATGAAAATATTAAATAATCTGATTATGTGAGAGCATATTTGTGGCCTAAAAATGTCCAGCCATGCTGCTATCACTAATCTTTACACTGAATTATAATCAGGGTATGGTAACAAGAAAAGAAGAGTGGTGTCCCTCAATGAAATTTGAGAGACAGGGCTTGCTGACTTCCCTCTAGGCAAAGTATATTTTATGCCCAGCTCCACCACTGTCTGTCTGAGAAAAAGATGTGTTTTCAAAAGTGCTCATCAGGTGGCTGATTTCAGTGGACTCAGCAGACTCAGTTCTTTCAGTGGGAACAGAGCTGAGACACTGATGAGAGCTTTTTGAAGTCCTTCCCTCCTCTGCTGTACTAGGGCCAAATCTCTGCTTTCCATGGCAGAGTGAAAAAAAGATTCTTACAGAAAGGAAATCTCTAGACTGTTTCTTTGCACTGTTTTGGTTTGTTTGGTTTTTTTTTTTTTTTTTTTGTTTTGGTTTGGTTTTTTTTGGTTGTTGTTTTTCAAATTATAACATGGTGGTTTTTCAAATTACAACATAGTGGGAAAGAGTTTACATCATTAACCTAAAGAACAAAGTTGTCTTTTCACTCAAAAGCAGTAGTGAAGGCTTCCCATCACACTAGGCATTCTTCTTCAAGTGCTTGGTTCCACAACTGTCTTGAAATCCTCTAAGAAAGGGTTTTCTAGCCTCCAAGGAGCATGACAGGATAGATAAAGGGCATTTGATCTTACTTCCTTTTTCCAAATGCATTCCTGAACTTTCACAAAGCCTGC